ACTGGCTGTGTGTTTTCTAATGGAGTTATTGTAAAGGAAAACCATAGATGGAATGGAAATTATTTTTGGATTTAATTATTTCCATTTATCTTAAACAACAAAAAGCAATAATAATATTATTAAACAATGTCCTGCCTCAGAAAGATAAAGGAAAATGCACAGACAGCAGGATGTTGTCCTGTTTCATGTCTATTTGTGCTGATTCCTTTAAATGTCCACAGCAAGCTCTACTGTATATAGACAAATAAACAAGATGGGTAAGCAAGACATTTCATCCCATGTAGCTTCCCATCATCTGTATTCTTGCTGCTTTAAGCTGATTAATGTGTAAATGTGAAACTCATTCTATCTTTTGACTTTTTTTGTGTGCATAATCAATGATGATATACTGCTAGACTGGCTGCTGAACACTGCCTTTCTACTATCGGGTCGTTAAGTCTGACGTCACTAGCCGTGTCTGGGCCTAAACTCCGCTGCAGGTCCATATATCAAACGATCACTATGGCATTACTGAGAGTTGAAAAACTGTCTAAAGTCTTTCATCTTTAATAAAATGATCAGCGTTCTGCTCTACCAGGTGTAACAATTGAGTTTAACATCCAGGCATCCATGAAAACGGAATTTATGACATTTAACGGAGTTAGAAGTTAGCAGGGAGTTAGCTCGCTTGCTTCTATCTAACTACAATATAGCTATATATAGCTGCGGGCCCCAATCCGGATGGGCCTGGGCCCCTTTGCCCTGGTGGGTTCCAGAGTGTGGGGGTGCCCACTGGGGTCACCCACCCACACACGCAGGGCTTGGGGTGCAGGTATGTCACAAGGGTGCAGGGAGGCACTCCCCCTCTGTCCCCTTCTGGCCGCCTGTGCCTCAATTTTATTCTGCAACCTAGACATCCACATTACTCACACTCTCACATAACACACACATATAGGGCCTTGGGGGTGGGCACATTTTACAGCATCCAGAGGATGGTCGGTGTATTTGGGGCTCTACTCAGCTCTTCCCAGGAGGGTGGCACGGTCCCCCCCCCCTTTGGTGGTCCTCCTCGGGTCCTTGTACTCTGGGGCCTCTGGATATCTGGGGCCTGGATCTCCTCCATACCTGCTTCATACCCTGGTGGACAGGGCTGTGGCTCCCCACACTCCCTAGCAGATCATTACATGGAGAAACCTTTGGAATACAAGCATGCTGATCCACACAGGTGTGCAAACAGGTGTACACACGGGTGTTCACAGCCTTTCTTGGCTGCTGCCTCAAAGCACATTGTGCGCTGTCTATCTTGCCTGCTGCACAATATTGTTTATTATTTAGTATCTACTGCTAGCTAGTTTATTGTGATGGTGATGTTTTTTTTATTATGTTGCTCTTTGTTGTTTGCTTTCTCTTCTGTTTTTTTCTCCATACAGGTGATCCAGGTGTTTTGTTTGTTTGTTTGTTTTTTTCTTTCTTCCCCCCCTTCTCACCGTCTCTTCTCCCCTTTGGTTTTCTTTCTCTCCCTCTCTTTCTTTCATTCTTTCTCCCTGTCCTATCCCCCAGTCATGTCTGGCCCTTTTGTAGCAACTGAAAATAAAATAAATTCATAATTATAATAAAGGTCAATCAAATGGACCAATATGGCAAGGCCATGATGATCCACTTGGTAAAATACATCCGCTTGGCATCTTTCTTGGCCTTAAGACAACAATTCTGATGGCTAAAGATCCAAACGGGACACAAAAATAAATAAATACAATATAGCATGTTCTGACTGCGGGGTTTTGGAAACAAATTAAAACGTACAGCTCTGTTATCACTTCCAACGTAAATGAAGACAGAAAACTAAACAGCAGTGACGTTTGTAGGGTTACTGAAGTTTGGCTAGCTGGTATATAATGATGTGCTACGTGACCGCTAGCGACACAGCTATGTTAGCATAATATACACAAGCTAACTTTTTTTCCACTCAATAAAAGTTAACGTGAGTGTTCTCGTGTTCAGGAACAAATGTAATCGCATGGCAGGATGCTGTAAAAGGACCAAACTTCAGCCAGGAGAACAACTGAGATAATCCATCCACAATATGAGGTTAGTCATTCATATACTGCTGCATGGGCTGGGCTGTAGCTACAGCCTAAGGTTTTAAAAACTGAGCTTAAATAAATGATTAGCAGTAATAAAAGCCGAGGGAGGTCAACAGTGATCACTGACTGTTTTAGGAGTTTTTTGAGATTAAATAGAAGAAAATACAAAACATTAAACATGTTAACAACACAAAAGCCATATTAAACGCAGACTACTTTAGGCCCGGAAGTAGGATTCGTCACGTCATCACTTAACGACCGGATAGTTATCATAATGTGTGGATAATGTGGAGCCAAATGCTGACTTGCAGACAGAATGAAGAAATGGACAATGAACTTTTATTAGAGTGAGACAGGTAGTCTAACAAGCAACAAAAAAACTAATTCCAGAAAACCAAAAATTACAAGTAACAGGGGAAACATAGTTTTACAGCTATAAATCGCATTTCTGCACCAGGAAGATGATTCCAAAGAGCTTTTAGATGAACATTTGGCACCCAATCTCACCACAGCAGGCAGCATATGTGCAGTGTGCCATTAAAAATTTTGAGGAAACCAGATAAGTGGAGGACAAAAAAACTACAGCAGATGAATAACATCAGAAAGTCTTGTCCTTAAGAAATTGGAAAACAAATCCAGCAAAGATGTGACACAGGGCCTAAGCGATGCACCTGGCCCTTGGCACCTGGTTGATCCATTTACTGTTTGCCAAAATCTCAGTGGAAACGTGGCTGTCAAGAAGTTCATAAGGAAGAGAAATGGAGAGGAAAAAAGTGGGGTATGGCAAACTACACAAGACCTGGAATGAAGATCAGTGGCAACAGATCTGATGGAGTGATTAATCCAAATCAGAAAAGTTTGGTTCCTGGAGTAGGTCAGGAGAGAGGTCCAGCACTGATTATGACAACCATTTGTAAAGCATGTAGAGGAGGCTCTGTCATGGTTTGGGGTTGCATTTGAGGCAGTAGTGTTGGGGATCTTGTCAGAATTAATGGAATTATGAAAATTTGCCAAAAAGATTTCAGGCGATGTTGAAAAATAAGGTGATCATATCAAATATTGATTCCCAAACTCATTAGAATTATATAAATTCTGTTTTTTTCTCATAATAATAATAATATTAATAATGGATTGCATTTATATAGCGCTTTTCGGGACCCCTCAAAGCGCTTTACAATACCACTCTCACATTCATACACTGGTGAAGGCAAGCTACAGTTGTAGCCACAGCTGCCCTGGGGCAGACTGACAGAAGCGAGGCTGCCATATCGCGCCATCGGCCCCTCTGGCCATCACCAGTAGGCGGTAGGTGAAGTGTCTTGCCCAAGGACACAACGACCGCAACTGTCCGAGCCGGGGCTCGAACCGGCAACCTTCCGATTACAAGACGAACACCCAACACTTGAGCCACGATCGCCTACATATACACTTTATTTATATGTATGTTTGCATTTGTTTCAGTTCAAACTGTCTGAACAAACGCATGTCAAATATCATCAAGGTATATAGTTAAACATGGTAAAACCTCATCTGTGCATTAAGTGGCATTCTGAGAGGCGAACATATTTTTGGTGCTTCTGGGGAGTAAATTGATTTCCAGGTTCTTAGGATTTCCTGGAACTTAGTGGAAAATAAAAAATAAATTAAGCAATACAAAAGATGATTCCTCTTAGGCCTACCCTCTAGAGAGTTGCCAGAAAGTCTATTTTACACAGTTGGATCAAAGCTTGTCATCCAAGTACTGGTAATTTGGTAGTGGGAAATCTTTAATACTCTCCCACATGAAAGACTATAATGCAACTAGAAAAGGAAATGACGAGTTATTTCTGTGGCTCTGGTCACTCTTTTTACACTTAGCCTTGAAAAACTTAATTTTAGAAGGAAAGAATTGCACTGAATGGAAGTGCTCGGTAATATCCCAGAAGCTGTGATTCTCAACTTGATGGCTGTTGATGACCGGTTACTTTAAAAAGACATGCATGTGCACTAGTGAACTACAAGGTACGTGAGCTGTTAACAAACCTACATTCATTTCTTCGTGTTTTATTTAGCTGTTTATCGTCATTGTTATAACCACTATTATTGTATTTATAATGTGTTTTTTAACAACCCAGAGATGATTAAAGACTATGAAGAATCAACCATCTGGACACAAATAGTGTACACTTATAGTCTTCTTACACTTATGCAATAAAAAGTATACCAAGGGCAAGTATGTCATAAATATTACTATATAAATTAATCTTTTAGTGAAAGTTTCCTCACTTGCTATGATGGCTTTATTATAATAAGAGAAACATAACAAATATAGTAAGGAAAAACTCATAGTTAATTTCACTGGATTCTTAGGTTTCAGCATTTTGAGTTTAGATATGAAATTCATATATTTTCTTCAATTCAAGTGAGTGAGAAGGTATGAAAAACAACTATAAAATTCTTATGAGCTTATTAATAATGCACTGGTTTTTCAAAGATTGGGAGCCCACTAATTAGCTGATTTGCAGGTCAAAGCAACTCATTTGGATACTTTTTAAAGTTTTTTGTTTCATGAAACCTAATTTTTTTAAGTATTAAGATTTCAAAATGATTCTTTTAAGAGCAAGCACAGCAACTTTATACATTATACAAATAAAACCCTTCATCTTATTAATCCTGCAGGTTTTCTTCAAGATAAAATTATGTTTCAATCAATTGTGCATCCATGCTCTTTCTTAGCAACCCACACTTCTCCTGCAGAAGGTAACACAGCTGCTGAGGGTGAAGTGTCTTTCCTGAGGCTGCTGCCTCCTACTGTAACTTTGTGACTTCAGGTTAGAGCTCAGTTGAGCAAAGATCTTCTGGGAGCTGAACCACTGAGCAGCAAAAGCCCTACAAGGTGCTCGGCATGAAAGAGTCAGTAAATAAGTAAATATAACAATCAAAAAAACAAAAACTTACCTGAAGAAGGTAACGAAGAACTGCACCAGGTCCATGATGCTGTTGTGCTGAGAGAAAGCAATCTGAGACAAGACAAGAAAGGGAAAGAGAGTGCAAGAGGTTAGTGCAAAATGTACAAGTTTGACTTTTTGCCTCTATATGACCTTTGAACAGCAGTTAAAATGCTGATTTTCTTCTCCTCCCATTTGTGATTGGAACTTTTTCCAACAAAACTTCTTCCTGCAAATGTAAGAACAACACAGACTAAAATCGACACAAGTCACTGCACTGCTTTTTTATTGCTCCTTTTACAGAGCACTGGAAACTAAAACAGTATCTGTTAAACATCTTTCTTTATCCAAGGCCAGCATTCAGACCTCTTACAAAAAACCATTGGTTTTATTCCTGCCTTTTACATTCAAACATGACACAAACACAAAGAATACAATGTGATGCACCACCGTATGGGTTGCAGGTTATTATAAGATTACCCTGTGACTAAAAGCTTCTGGCCTTTTGTGTTCTTTGGTATTCTGCAGCACTTTGTTCAACAATTGAAATTTGACAAACCTACTGCATGCTATAGCTCCACTAAATCAACTGGCTGCATCATCCATCATGTTCTCTGTTCTGGAATGCTGGTGCAGTGTGTGACACTCTGGTGTTCAAAGCCACAGATATAAAACATGTCGACTCAGTCAATGCACACTGTGTATTTATTGTAATTATTGGTAATTGATTTTTCCGCTTATCTTCAACCATGCAGATATTAACTGGTTTAACTTTAACAGATTATTCTATATTTCAGTAAAGAAAAGCACAATTCCATATTAGTGAATACAACATCCTGGCTGATTATCAAACAATGCTTCTTTATTGCTTGTGGAAACCCAAGCTTCCAATTTACTATGTTTCCAATGTCTGCTATACTAATTAAGGCTCATAAAGTTAAAAAAATATGATATGCCCTTTTTAAAGTGGCCAAAAACTTCATCTAGTTTGTGCATGTTTAAATGAACCACATTTTTGTACTGTTTTTGCAATATCAAAGATGTATTATCTATATTTCCACTCGTTTCATCAGCATACACACCCACACATATTCCTAACAGCATGAAAGTTATCCTCACCTCTCACCTCATCTCATCCCTCACTCTGTAACTCAATACAATCCGTGTTTATGAACAGTTGTGTGAGTTTACTGTGTGTTTTTCTGTGTCTATGTAAGATGTGCCTTCTGGCTTCAGAGTACCGTTTTGGCTCTCAGATATGAAAACTCTTGAAAAGCCACTGCAGTCTATGTCTCAAATCCATCATGTTAAGAGGATTATTTATTACAAAAATAATTGATTTTCCATTCACTTTCCTGTCCTGCAGGGACAACAAAAAGCTGATATTTCAGTTACAGTTAGAAGGCACAAAGACTCCTCATATGGATCAATGCTCTAAGATAAATGACCAAATGACCAAGTCAACCAAAGACGAGCGGTTAATGAGGATAATTTAAAAAACAAAAAAAAACAAAAGGAATATTGGTGTACAAAAGTAAAACTCTCAACAGCACAAATTTACTGACGGCTACTGGTTGGTGGTTTGTTTGTTTTCACTTATGATTTCATGCCAGCAGCACAACCAGTACAGAAGTACTGGGGAAAAGTAGTAGTCATCATCTTAGAGCAAGTATTGGTGTGCCAGTGCACTGAGCAAAATCACTGCTATTGTTTCGTAGAAAACTAAGAGTAAAGTCTAAGAATTGTAATGACCATCTTAGAGCTTTGATCCATTTAGTAATTAAATGGAGTAATTCAATTAGGAGGTCTGCTTCACAGGAAAACTGATTACCTGTCAGTTTCTTCCAAGCTCAACCAGTATGACTGTTACTAATGGTGTTTCCCAATGTCTTATCCACTCATTTAAAATATGGTTACATTTAAGAAAGTGAGCATTCTTGGTTAAGAAAATACAAGAATGGAGAACTGAAAAGTTGCACAGCAGCAGACCAAACAACAATTGATTTGTCAAAGTCCCACTAAGATGACTGCCAATTAAAAACCTTTTCACAAAGGAGTTTTTTCAACACCTCAACACGTAATGTGTTTGTATTTGCTGCTATTTTGACATTAACATAAATAAAAAGCTTTTTTTAATGGTTTTACTGAACAAATGCAAATTGTAGCCTTGAAACCTTTAGGTCCTCTTTTAACAGCAATAGCCTTCATCAGATTTAGCCTAAAATTGCTTCTGACACTTCCACATCATCAACTGATGTCTTGATGGCACACAGCAGGCATTTCCACAGACGTCTAAATTAGGTAAAAGTTAGTGACTTGCTTTGGAGTTTCCAAAACTTAAATTTAGTTCTCTCTTAAGTACTCTGTTGAATATTTACTTTGGTTTGGTTTATTGTTTAATTAGATCACCTACAGAATGCGCTCATAAGCTTAAGGAACTGCTGCCCAGATGTTCTTGTGCAACATGTCCTAATATCATTTCTAATTCTTTGATCCCACAGTGATTGCAAGACAGCCAAACAACAAAGCAGCCCTATTCCATGATGCTGCATCCACCATGCTTCTCAGTCAGTTTTTGGCAGTGTCTCTTTTCTTAAAGGAACTTTGTGCATTTTTGCCAAAAACTTCAAATTCTCCTTCACCTTCCGCAGAGCTTCACCTGTATACAGAATAGCAACAGCCCAACATTTCTTCCATTTGTAAACTGTTTGTCTCATTGTGGATTCATGAATGCCTATGTGTTTAGAATAGCTTTCTTTGCATTTTCAAACCTCCAGGATATTACATAATGATTATATTAAGGCCCTAAGAAAGTTGTTGTGAACAAGGCATAGTTCATACCAACCAATCCTCTTGAGAAGAGCGTACTTTATCAGTATGTTTCTTTATAGGAGCTCAACTAAAACATTGTCTTACCTCCTTAACTAGAACATCTGAGACCTGTGTTTTTGTTTATTTGTTGAGTGAGTTTGTGCATAAAAGTGTGACTCACATGTAGATGAAGATCAAACCATATTATATAAATAACAAATGTGTCATTCATGAAGAAATATCACTTCTTCCAACTGTAAAGTAAATTATGTTTATAAGGACAGCTTATGCTTTTGGTATTAAGTGTATTGGAACAAAAAAAAGATATCCGAGGAGAGACTATGACATCTAATTACTATGAGGACATGTTGCCCTCAGAGTTTCTCTTGAAATTAAAAGCTAACTTTAGAATCTGATAAATTCTTAACAATTAAACTTTAGATGTCTTTAAATGTGCATCAGTAGTTTAATAAGAAATCATCCTATGCTAGACAGACCCGCACTTTCTTATTCTTTTTCATTTTTACGTTAAGAGGCGAAAAGTCTTTCATTTTGTACTAATTGTCTTTCAAAGGTGTCAAAATCTTACACTTTCTCTCATGAAACTTTAAGATAATATAAAAGAGGTACAGGCAAAACCACTTATGTACTTAGTAGCACTGAGTAGTAGCACACAGTAGACTGTGAAAAATGAATTTAAAAACATTAAACCACTGCAGCTAACTGGGGTTGTAAATTATAAAATAAATACTGATGGGACGCATCAAAATAACGGCACTGTATTTCAGCCATGTTCAACATGGGGATACCTTTAAATGGCCCTAATAGTCAAAGAGGCTGCGTCTTTGTCTTTGGTGAATCCTTTGAGACTACTTGGGAGGGAAGAGGGAAAGAAATGGGGCAGAATGAGCTTAAGAGGTTTACCAGCACTTGTGCAGCAGGTAAAATGGCCTGACAGTGAAAAAGCTGCAGAAAAGCTGATTTTGGTCCAGTGGGACACAGCATTAATACAGGCATCAGGGAGAAAAGAGCCTGGCTTTGCATTCAGGCTTCTACTGCAGCAGTTTACATCATTCCCCCCTGACAATATAAAGAGTTATTATGAGTGTACACACATACTGCAACAAGGTAAAAAAACAAAACAAAAAACAAACAAAAAAAAAAAGCACACATTTACTGTCAAACAATGGATAAACATCCTGTACACTGAAAAACAAATGCAACAAAACAAACACAAACTTGCACAGTGGACAAATTATGATCGCTGCACTTAATGCAGTAAGTTTAAACTGCTCCTAATTTTTCTCTCCCGCACTCATGAGTCCCATACCAGCTCCAGCCAACTACCATCATTTCAATTTACAACAACTGCAGTCGTTAAACAACTATAATCAATAAGATGTTTAGACCACACCCTTTTCATCCCAGCACACACCACTGCAGAGCCACAAACGAGAATCTAACACAAGGACAAACACATAATGCAAGCTTAATGTGCACATACATAGAATGAGCAAATTACCATCCGACAAGTATAATTTGGACAATTTAAGTATAACTTAATTCATTTCAATAGTGACAAGAAATGCACTATATTTGTGCAACTCTTACTGAGATACAGAGGAGATAATTCTATGGTCGTTTTCAAGCTACTGTTTTTGCTGGTTTCTTCAAAGCAAACTTAACTGTGTCTCTTGACAGGTTTTATATGCTTTAAGTAAAAACTGCAGAGTGGTGTACAGCAATACTGGCATTTAGATTTTGGCAGCAAAGACCTGTGCACACTTATCGTTTGGCAGTTTGCCATGGTGTAACTTGCAGCATTTTTTAAACACAGAACTGATGCATATAAGAAAGTGCCCTAAACTATTTGTATAACCATGTTGTTATCCTGCTACCATTCTTTACATGGTGTAATTATTTTATGGAGACCTGTAGTAAGTCATTGTCAATATCAATCCTTAGCAATAAAAGCCATGTCAATAAAATCGCATCAAAGACAAATGTCCTGTGACAATTTTAGCCTCATTCACCAAGACAATGTCACATCTTGGTGATGTTGCCTTTTTTCCTATATTTTTTGTAGGAAAGATGTTCTGAATGAACATCTTTGTGTGTGTTTTAAAGTGATGCTTTGTCATTAAAAAGGAAAGTTTGGAAACCTTTTGGTACAAATCTAGGTTTTCTGCTTCTGTACAGCATGGAGAGGAGCAACATGTCAAAGGAAATGAGATGGCTAACATAAATGACAGTGTCCTTAC